CTCCTGAAGCCCCCCCTGTAGCTAGAGTTTTTCTGCCTGGCCCACAGTCAGGACAAATCTTTGTCACCCACCAGTCCCACAGCCGCTCAGACCCAACCAAGTGAACACAAAGACTTATATTGCTTACAAACTGTATGGCCGTGGCAGGCTTCTTGCTAACTGTTCTTACAGCTTAAATTAATCTATTTCCATAAATCTATATACCTTGTCACGTGGCTCGTGGCTTACTGGTGTCTTCACATGCTGCTTGTCATGGCGGTGGCTGGCAGTGTCTCCTTCCGCCTTCCTGTTCTCTCTTTTCTCCTCTCTGTTAGTCCCGTCTATACTTCCTGCCTGGTCCCTGGTCAATCAGTGTTTATTTATTTATTGACCAATCAGAGCAGTTTGACATACAGACCATCCCACAGTACCCCCCTGCCCCATTGTATGGGTGCATCACTACTGCAGCCACACATATGCACACTTGTGTACACTGCCCTGCACACTTTTGTGGACTCATGTCTGCCCAGTGCTTAGCACATCTCCTGTTTTGATACGTACCTTGCCGATCTGATTATTTCCTGTTTCTCCTACTAGAGCACCGACACCAGGATGGGGCGTCGATTTCGTCTTCTGTGTGGCGCTGCGCTCGTGCCTGGCCTATTGTAGGTTGGTAAACTAGTAGTGGTCAATAAACTGGTAACCAGCTGGTTGATACAGCTTGCCCAGGCTCCCTCTTATAGTCAAAGACTAAATCCCCATCTGGTCACAGGTCTACGTACCCTAGGCTTGTATGGAGGTGACATCTACTGAACACAGAGTTTATAGATTTGATTCAAAATAGCAGCTAAAAAAAAAAAAAAAATACCTGTGGCCATTTCCTACCCTTTAACTTAGCTCTGCAATTTAGGTATCAGGAGAATGGTAGATAGATGGTGAGTCCAAAGAGGAAATTGGAGTTTTGACAGAACATATAACTCAGCCATGAACCACACAATTTGGTGGCGGTCAGGCCTGCAGACCAGGATGGAGTTAGAAACAACGAAGGACCCTGGACTTGCAAGTGGAGCTTAAGGCCCTGGCAACCCCAGCAGGCAGGCCTGTGTGCTCCACCGGTCAAGCATAGAGTAAAACCAGGCATTGGCAAGAAAGAGCTGTTTGTGTCAGCAGGACAGAGGCCAGGGGCTCTCAGGCCAGCAGCCAAGATGAGCTGCCTTCTTAGGCTTGTTCTAGAGCCCACTGTACCTGGCCAGCTCAGAGACCAATGGTTTCCAGGCAGGAACTCTGATGATCATGGAATCTAAAATCACTCATATTAGCAGCCTGCTGTGAGGTCTAAAATTAGACCATTCTTAAAACAGGCTAAACCTTTAAAAAGACAAGGCCAGCACTGAATAAAACTTGTGAAAGCCTTAGGATAGCCATAGCCATTACATCTGTGCTTTATGTTTGTTTGTTTGTTTGTTTGTTTGTTTGTTTTGGGCAAAGACACCAACTCCCAATAAATGCATCACTATAAGGATGCTGCTGCCACTGCTGCTGCTGCCGCCGCCAGGATGGTGTGATCTCCATGATGGAGAGAATAACAAAGGTTACCAGGCCAAATGCTTTCTGAGCTCTCCATTAAATTGGCTTGTAAGCCATGAAATCATTTTAACACACCATAATGAGAAGTTAATTGAAAATTGAAGTGATACAAAATTAAATAGAATGAACTACAGTATGTCACACTTTAGTAAAGATAAGTCCTTTTCCCCTAAGAGTCTCAACCAGTTGTGTATACGTGAGTATGTGTGTGTGTGTGGGGGGGGATGTGTGTGCAAGCCACACCGCAATATGAACTGTGTGCCTTACTATGAGTCTTAGTTTAAAAACAAAAACAATTTGAATGTTTCTCTCCCATTTCCTTTTCCATATAGTACTTAATAGTCCTCATTTTTCATATAGTACTTTGCTTTCCTATATAATCAGCCAATGCTTAATCATTCCTTAGTTGCCTGATTTATGAAATGCCTGTGGTGTGGAAGGCACTGAGCTAGGTCCTGGGGCAATAAAGCTGAATAGAAGCCAGTGTTCAGCAAGGGGCCTGGCAGGAACCAGGTGGCTTACTGTGGTGGGATACCATGAAGAGAGCCAAGGACAGGGTGGGAACGTGGGGGACAGAGCCACCCCCAAAGTGTGATGAGCAGGGAAAGATTAGAGGGGGCAACGGAAGGAAGCCATGTTCAGAACCCGACCTGTGTGGAAAGGCACACCACAGAGGACTGTCCCCTCCGGTCCACGAGGCATCCAGCAACCAGGAACCTGCAGAGATGTGGCTAGAGAGACAAACAGCTCAGCTCTCAACTCCTGCTCATGAGCACAGGGCCTAAGCCCAGCAGCAAATGGACCCAGTCATGTAGTCTGCCTGGGCAGAGGCTGGCAGAGGTGAATGTGGATGGCAGAAGAGGCGTGGTTGCCAATAAAAACCTCGGCATCCCAGAAACTTACATTGGCTGGAGGAACATAATCAGACAACCACAGTAACACAACTTCTACAGGAAGAGGGAAATTCCCGGAAGCTTCTGGAAGAAGGAAGGAAAAAGGATTGATTCTTGTGAGAATCAAGGCCAGAGCAGCGAGAGGGGCCCGGCAAGTGAGGAGACAGAACAGCCCATCCCTAACAATCTCTCTTTTGGAGAGCTGTGTAGCAGGAATCTTAAAAGTTCTTATTAATAAAATCAAACCTGAGGACAGGTATTGGGGTGAACTGGAAGATCAGAGAGACAGAACAAGCCACAGCTAACCTCACCTGGCCAACTTCTCAGCTGGTCCTGTTTCCTCAGACTGGAAGCTTCTGTGTCCTCATATCCAAATGGCTCTCAGCTGAACTGTGCTGCTCAAAACCTAAAAACTTAACCAGCCAAATGCTTAACCAGCCAAATGCTTCTAGTTTCTGGTCCTCACACCTTATATACCTTTCTGCTTTCTACCACCACTCCCTGGGATTAAAGGCTCCTTTCTGGGATTAAAGGCGTGAGTCACCATGCTTGGATGTATCCTTGAACACATGGATTTCTGCCTCTGGAATGCTAGGATTAAAGGCTTGTGCTACCACTGCCTATCCTAAGTATTTAGTGACTTTTCTGTTCTCTGACCCCAGATAAGTTTATTAGGGTACACAAATTTTGTGGAACACAATACCCACAGAGCTGCCTCCTTTCTTTTCTTCCTCCATTGTTCCAGTAGGATCCCAGAGCAGTGACCTCTTCTCCGCTGCAGGGTGACCCATGTAAGTGTACCCTATTCCCTGGTCACAGTTTCCGGAGTCCTCCATGGGCATCTTTCCTTAGTGATGAAAACAGTCAATTGCCTCCCAATACAGGAGCTCGAGAGGATGCAAAGTTAGAACTATCGGCTGCTGCCCCCCAACTCCTGGCAAGTTCTGAGGGAAACCGAGGGCAGGGTAGTGGCTCTCTTGGCTGGGGTGTGTTTTACATTCTGGGCTACTTTGAATTTGGGTCTTGCATTATCTTTCTGTTATGAGACCTGAAATAACTACCTTGAAGAGAGAAGAGACCTCTTTATGGCTCATTGTTTTGGGGTTTCTAGCCCACGATTGATGTGCCCTATTGCCTTAAGTCTGGGGTAAGGCAGTGCATTATGATTGGAACAGGCAGAAGGGCTGAACTGCCCACTCGATGGTCAGGAGGCCAAAGGACTAGTTTCTTACAATCTTCTTCAAGGCCACAGCTTCAGGGACATAAAGACCCTCTTATATGTCCTACCCCTTCCCAACAGTTCACCCTGGGGACCAAGCCTCATATATATGGGTCTTTGGGAGACATTCAAAGTTGAAGCTGAAGCTGGCATTTACCATGTATGGGTTAATGTGATCTCCTTCTGGGTGAGTTTGAGTTGAGTCTCTGTCCTAACTCTTCATGCAGAGGAAAGTGTGGGTGCAGTATGGTGGAGTTGAGAAAGCACTTGGCGTACTAAGGGCCTATTGGGTGTGTAGCCTGCCTACAGTCTAAGATACTTGTAAAAGGAGGTAGGCTCTAACAGTCGGCTTAAGACCAACCATGAAAGCCTTGGGCCAGGTGGTGCCCATACAAGTGTACGTTAGGAATTATAACAGGGAAGGACACACATTTGAACTTCAGGAAGTTTGACCTGAGAGCTGTGTGAGCAAGGGATGGAAAGGAACTCGCCCTGGAGGAAGGGAGGGAAGAGAAGCTTGTCGGTGACACATGAGCACCAGAACTCAGCTGTGGACAGCAAAGGGCATAGATCTGATAGATGCAGTGCCTGGATCTAAGAGACAGTGAATGAAGAAAGAGTCCAGAAGAGCACCAAGGCCTGGTTTGGGAGACAAGGTGTATGGGACATCGAGAGGGTTGTGTCCTCCTCAGGCACCCTCCCCAGAAAGCATACTCAGCTCCTCCTCTTCTCTAAGAAGATATGGGGTGCACATTAGAACCCCATCTTGTACCAGTCCAAGGGAAAGCACTGTGATAAAATTTTATGAATGTAGCTGGTAGGCTTTTAGGATTTCCTACCCAAACATGTCACAATCATGACTCATGTGGAATCTAACTAGCACTTATCTCCATAGGGATTGGTCCCAGGAACCTCTGCTCCTGTAGATACCAGAGTCCATAGCTAAGGAGTCCCTTACATAAAATGGCTTAGTGTTTTCATATGGTTTATTCACAACTTCTTGCACATGCTAAAGGATCTCTAGATTGCTTATCATACTTAACACAATCAAAATATTGTATAGTTGTTACATTTCATTGCTTATGGACAATGGGAAAAAAAAGATTATACATGCTCAGTATAGATGCAATGCTTTATCCAAATATGTTCTCTCTCTGGTTGAATCCGTGGATGTGGAAGTCATAGTTATGGAGAGCTGAATGTACAGTTTTCTGTACTATAAATCTTTTTCCACAGAGGCTCTGAATTACCTTTTAATAGGCTTGTAAATATTTTCACAAGTGAATAACTCTTTTTAGGTGACGGGTAATTCAGGCTTCCATCATGAAGCTTTACCCTAACTTCCCGAATCTGAGAATGGCGATCCTCTAATCCTTTGAATTCAAGCAAGTATATGGCGAAGATTCTGGAACAGATGCCAGGCAAGAGTCAGGAAAAGAACATGGTCAAAGTACATTACAACTTGGGAGTGGGGGGGGGAGGAGACTCAAGGTATCGATCACTCCTTGTGGAATGTTTGTGAGGGTTACCATGACTTCCCAACATTCTGTAACTGCTTTAGCGTAAGAGTCCTCACACAAACGTCACAGCTCAGCATCTCTGAACTGTCACCATGTAACCTTTTTCTTGCCTGTTATCGGTCTACTCGGAGGATGATTCAGGACCAGTCACTAAGCCAGTAACACTGTAACCTTTCCCCCAGAGTGTTTCCCCTGGATCTGCAGGTGTGTTCCACACCCCGCTTCCTCTTTTTAAGGTTCGGCTTGTGTTTATTTCCAACAATATCACTAGTTTTTTCTGGATGTGACTTAGATGGAGCGGTAACAGACAGCATTTCCACATCTGCCCTTGGCAAGTTTTCAGTAAATGATCTTGAACTCAGTTTTCCCCATCCCCCTCTCCAGTAAATTCCCACCTCACCGTCTACACCTGCAGAAGTTTCCTTCGGTGAGTCCTGCCTTAGTGGTCACCATTCTGCTTTCTCTTGGAACACCATTTCTTCAGTCTACGCAGCTGAGAATGACCTTGAATTCCTGATCCTCCTGCCTCCACTTCCCTCCCAAAAGCTGGGATTATAGTTCTGTTTGATGTGGCGCTGGGGATCAAACCCCGGGCTTCAGGCATGCCAAGCAAACACTCTTATCAACTGACTATATTCCCAGCCCCCTGAGAGAACATTCTTACTGGCTCAGGTTCCAGACTGTCCCAAGCCTCTCCCTGCTCAGGCTCACTCCCACCCTGGGCCACCCATCCATTTTACCTCCAACCATGAAGAGTTCCAGTCAACAGCTAATTTGCTTTGAGCACTTCTAAGTGTACATCTCGTGTGACCCTGAAGCTTAAGCCATCTGCCCTTTACAGTGGAGGACACTGAGGCATAAAGAAGGAACACAAACTGCCCAGAGTTGTAGGAGCTGGCCCAGGCCTGGCCCCGCTGCCTGACTCTGGGTCTACAGTAGGAATGCTTCACCAGGACAGCAGTCTGGGAAGCTCAGCTCTGACGCAGAATTGGTCTGCTCTCCCTCCTGAACTCCAGCCTCCATTCCCAGCGTCCACTGGGCTCCCCAAGGGCTTTCTCAGGACCTGCTCAAACCCAAGCCTCCTCACCCCTGCAAGCTCAGGTTACCCTGTAGAGCACAGTCATCACCAGGCCTTCCCTTACCCTTCACATCCTGCCTCCACACGCATTACCTCTCAAACCCCAGGACCACTCTTTCCTTCCAGACACACCGCAACCACACACGGCCAGTTTCCCAGCTCTCTGTGTTTTAGGGCTCGCCTTTACATCTCCCCCCTCCCTTGGAACCCCTCCCTCCTCCCCAGCTCCCCCGTGCAGCTGCTGCTGCTGCTGCTGCTGCTAGCTTCTCGGCTCCTGTACTCCCCGCTGCATTCCACCACACTTAGAGTTGTTTGCTTTCCTGCCTTCTTCCTGACAGCAGACGCTATCTGATGGTAGCCAGAGCTACGTGGACTCTAGAGTATACACAAGGGCTGTGTGTGTGTGTGTGTGCGTGCGTGCGTGCGTGCGTGCGTGCGTGTGTGTGTGTGTGTGTGTGTGTGGTGTGTTGAGAGGCAGAATGTGTATGTATGTTC